CTTCTATTTTCTTCCCATTTTCTTCTGACCGCTTGCTCAGGTACTGTTGTTTAAGTCAAAGAAACTCACAACTGGAAAAATATTACTTTCAGCTGTTCTGAGGACTCAAAACTGAATGCTTTCCTATGAAATATATTTTATCTCAAACAGAAATAGTGCACTTTAACTCAAAACTGATCTTATATCAAGGCATATGCAAGAAAGAACTGAAAATATTTTGATTTCTATCATTCCACAGTGTTACAAAGTATCTTCATTGCTAAGGATTGCCTGATAATGGGTATGTTTTCTTAGTATTTTCTTAAATTTAAGAAAAGTAGAGCGAGATAATCAGGAAGCAATATTGAAAATGGGAGCAGCTCTCTATAAAGGATCATGAAACTGGAAGGGCCAACATATAAAGACACCTAAAGCGAGAGGCTGTCTTTCCTAAACACTTAAAAACTCCCTGTAAATGCTTGCATTGATTATAAAGAATGGAATGCAGACCAGAATGAAATTGCTTGGGGAAAAACTTCACTTTTAATCTTTCATTTTTTTCTTTAAAATGTTTTTAATAAGGGTCACACATGAATGAGCTGCAGAAATGTCAAGAGTCTGTAGCTCTCAATATCCTGGGGACCATTTTGTCTTTGGCCTTCCATTCAGATTTTAAACTTTTAGGATCCATGTTGAATCATATATACTGTTTCTGTTAATCTATTTTGAACAGTTCCACACACACACACACAGAAAAAAAAACTTAGCACAGAAGTGAAAAAAAGAAATGAAATTTCAGATGTTCTTACAAAATTTACTTTCCGATTATTATTTGAAGTATTGAAAACAACCTTCCCTTTCACTTTTTGGAAATTTTCCCATGTCACAAACAATCTTAAGAGCTGGGAGTCCACAAGCCACCTGAAATAACCTTAGAGCTGGTTTTCTGCTGATAATCCCACTTTCCTTGGCCTGAGGTTTTTATTTTTATTTTTGCGCAAATTGATGGATCTCTGAGGACAGTCTGCATTTTAAAACACTGGCATTTTCCAGCAGGAAAAGTATTCCTTAGAAAAAAATTTTCACTGTTCAGAATTTCCTTTCATAATGATTGGCAGTCCAATCCAGTTATTAGGACTAAAAGTGAAATGGAGTCATGAAGGGACTATTGGCATTCTGGTTCAAAAATGCTCAGCGAATGTCTGAATCTGAACTGGTTGCCAACACAAACTCTGAGCTTTTCCAGGGAAAATATAAGTTGCCAGTGCTGACCTGTGTCATTTCAAAGCTGCAGATCCTATGAAGACATTTGATAGTGTTTCTCTAGTGCTGTTTTTCCCCTTAGAGGTAGAGCAGCTTCTTCAGATACTGCTACTAGCAACAACATCTTATCAGTTCTTGTGTGATGTAGTAATACGGTATCCAAATGTAATTTTGAAGATTATTTATGTGGAATTTGAAACATCTGAAGCACAATGATTCACTCCAAATATAATGTTATCATCTTTGGTATTAGTACTAATCTGTTCATATATTGTGTTTCATGTCTGGAGTCAGGAACAAAAAAAAAATAATTATTTCACCAGGTGAGAGGGAAACTGAGGCAAGGGTAGCAAACTGACTTTTTCATCACTACACATAAAATTAGTGAAGTTGAAGACTGAGGCGATAATCAGTCTCCACCCATCCTCTTCTGCAAAAACGGGGTTTGCATGAGTGCTCAGATTCTTCTCCTGTGAATAATGAGTAACACTATTAAAGAAAAAATCATGTAGATGTAAAAAGTGTTCACAAATATTTATCCATATTTTTAAACAACATTGTGAATGTGTGGGCACCCTCAATGTATGCATTTTTCATGACTATGCTAGCACAGGAGTTTTTTGGCAAACATACTGGCGTAGCAGGCAGTTTAATTTTGAAGTTTAATTTTGATGAATTTTTACATAAAATAAACATTTACATTCAGCAAATATTTTGAATTTACTTGTACATTGTCCAGTCAAGAAATATCCCTGTCCCTTTGCCCATTGCTCCACTAGACCACGTGCACTCAAAAGAATTTGTTTAAAATGTCAGATATACATAGGGCACTGTTCACAGACCATTAAACCATATCCCAGGAATTGACTGTAGACATTATTTACCAAAGATTATTAATAGTTAATGCTATAGAATCAGAGAATAGCTCATCCAGTTCCATCCACCTGCTGTGGGTTGATTGCCACCCACCAGATCAGGGTCTAGGGCCCTGTGCAATCTGGTCTTAAGCATCTTCTGGGAAGGGGCACACATACTTCTCCTGGCAGCAGTACCAGAGCCTCACTCCCTCTAAGTGAGTTTGTCTCCCACCTGTTCCCTTCAAGTACTGAAAGGCTACAATGAGATGTCTCTGAAACCCCTTCTCCAAGCTGAACAAATGCGGCTGCCTCAGCCTGTCTCCATTGGAGAGGTGCTCCAGCCCTCTGAGCATCTTTGTGGCCATCCTCTGAACATACTCCAACAGCCCCATGTCTTATGCTGAGGGCCCCAGACCTGATTGCAATACTCCAGGGGGAGCCTTGTGAAGACAGAATAGATATACATGCTCTTGTTACATTTTTTTTGAGCTAAATAGGGAAAAGCCCTTTCCTGAAGTCTGAGGAGGAATAGATTTTTTTCTGTAAATGTGTCTTTTTGCTATGTGATGAATTTAATATTGTATTGCTGTATGTGTGGGATTTGCTCAGCCAGTCTGAGAAAGGTGTGCATTGCAGCCCTGAGTTGGCTGTGCACACCTGCGTTAGGCTTTGTCCCAGGAGACAAAGGCCATCAACAGTGAGACCTAAGACACTGATTGAGTTCTTGTCTTTTATGCTGTGTAATTAAAGAACTCTGTGTTGGTGGAGACTGAGCAATAGTGAGGAGGTGAGGGGTGGTCCTCACCTTGATCTTGAAGCTGAAGCCAGCTTTTTGTGTATTGGATGTGAGCGATGTGAGCAGCCTATTCTTTTCCCTCCCCAGTCAAGGTCAAGCTCCATTTACCAATCCATATCGTCACTTGCTGTCACTGGTATCAGCAAGGCAAAATAAAGACAATATAGGACAACCACATAGCAAAAGTGCTATAAACCTGTTGTGTTCCTGTGGCTTGTGTAGGACTGCTTTTCTCTAGTCATGGCACATTGTTACTTATCCCAATGCCTTTAGCTGTGGGTTTCATTATCATAAGCTTATTCAGATACTTTTAGCTTTCTCTGTTTGTGTATAGTAAGTAATTAGTGTAATTTAATATGTTGCTGCTTTTTCTAGCACAGAATAATAAGAAAAAAATCCTATAAAAAGTTAATCACAGTATAATTTCTCTTATACTTCTGTAAATCTCCAGATAAGTCAGCAGAGATTTGGGGTTTGACAAATGACACTACTAAAAATTTCTGTACATACTTATTAATAACAAATTTATTGCTAAAATGGCATCATCAGAGATTCAGCTTACACAGATACTTTGGGATATCATAGAGGGAAATATGTCTCTTTCAGAAGCGTGAGACAAAGCCAATTATGACAGCTTTAGAATCAGTGAATTAGACATTGGAAACAATCTGAGGACAAGTACTTGATGTTTAGCTCAGTTAATTCCAATTAAAGCCTTCACAGTCATTTTAAAATCTAATGTAGAAATGTGGTGTTGCTATTTTCTATTTTTTTCCTGTTTGTTTTTAATGTGTCTTTGCCCACTCTGAATACTTAAGAAAAAATTTATTGTTTTAGAGGGTTTTTTTTTTTTGTTAGAATAGCAAAATTTTTCCAAAATATATATGATAATAAAGAGAAAATTATACTCAGCCTTTATGTGTTTACTCAAACATCCCAGTGACATCACAGACTGCTCACACTTTTCTCCCATACTTGCTGCGTGGTGACTAGGTGCTTCCAGTATTTTAGTTTGCTGATCTACCTTGTGTCTTTTATCACTCATGTGTGTATTTATCCTAGCATATGGACATATATTAATGCTAAGTTTCTTTACATTGTGGTGAAGAATATTGGTTTTACTTCTCAAAGAGGTAGTGCACATGTACTGTGAGTAAACTGTGTGATAATCTATGTAAATTATGTGCACAGAAGCTATACTTTGCCCTTGGGGGAAATGCAAATTAGAACATTTTGTAGTTTGTTTGTTTTTAAATACATACACTTTTCACTTCAAGGCTCAGGACAGACTCCCTATTTATTTTCCCATCGCTCATCATTTGTTTGTCTTTGTAAATAACTCACCCTTTAATGATTAGTTTTATACTTGGGCAGGGAAAAGAAATGCTTGATGAGTGAAGCCCTCAGAACATAATGTTTGGTCTGTTTTATAAATACGCTGTAAGGGAATTATCTGCTTGTAAAAGGGTGTATAACACAATCACGACGCAAAGCCATTATAGCGATCTGACAGTCTTCATTCATTTTCTCTCAGTGCTGTCTTATTTTCTTCTGTTATATTAATGCTTGTAAGATTTTTAATCCTGGGTTACTATATCACAGAGTTAACTGATTTTCCATATAAGAAGAGAGAAAAATGTATTTATAAAATGTGCTATATACTCATTTCTAGTTCTCTACTGACTTATTTTATTTGTATTAATAAAATTATTTTAATATTCCTTAACTACCCTTTCAGTGAAATGTTTTAATGTAAGTTGTCTGATTCTGTTTTAAGTGAAGGAGAAAACCTGGTAGAGGTTGTCTCTTTAAATCAGATCTGCAGTGTTGATGGACCCTCTAGCAGGCACGGTAAGAACCATTCTCACCTCTGCAGCAGGGAGCTTGACCATATAGACTCACACATTCAATCAAAACGTTTTCCCTTTTAATATGCACTGTACCAATCCTATTCCCATGGTTACAGCTCGTGCTTCTTTGGTTGCTTCCAGTCTGTTGGAAAAGGAAGGCAGCATACATTTCTTGTACAGGAGTTTAAAACATCATGAAAGCAACCCTGTTGTGATTTGCATTTTAAATGTTTCTTTTTTTTTCTCATTGTACAGAATGCTGTAGCAGTAGCTTCAGTTCATTTGCCACAGTCTGTCTTCTCTCAGTCTTCAGCCTGGCAATCTGTTGATAACGCAACTTGCAAGCTACAGTTTATTGTCTTTCGGAATGGAAAACTCTTTCCCAGCACAGGAAACTCATCAAATCTTGCAGATGATGGGAAACGTAGGACGGTTGCCACACCAGCTGTTTTTGCTAAAATAGGTGAGGAAATGTTATGCTTTATTTCCTTTAATCTGAAAGCTAAGGTTTACTTGATTGTATAGAGAATAGAGGAGTAGAGTGTACTGTATGCTGAGAGGCTGGGAACAGTCTGTCTTTAGCAGAAATGTTTGAATTTATTCCTATCAGCATGATTTTATTCCAATTCTCCTGCAGATAAAGAAATGCAATTGCTGTATGACTAGAATGCAAATTTGGGTTACTATTTTTTGACTGTTGTTACAGAAGCATCTTTCTTAAAGCACAGTGCTATACGAAGGAACCTTGTTTTACTCTTTTCTTTCCAATGAAAACTGCAGTGCTAACATGCTAGACTGATAAAGATAAGCCGGTCTGGGAAGGAGTGGTGCCCTGTTGCATGTATCAGTACTTACCAGTATACTTTCCGATACAATGAACATAAAATAGGTGTTGTTAAAGGCTTTTGTCTAGGTGTGATGTATCATATATGCTAGTCAATCATTAATTTGATTAATTATTCACCCAGGCAATTTTAATAATTTTATTTGATTCTGAGTAGTGCACTCATTTCTGTTAATGTTAAAAAAATGTTTAAATGTGACTTTCTTAGTGCAGTATTGTCTGAACTATTAATCACACAATGAAGCTATGCCATTTTTGCAGTTTCATGGGCAGTAGTGTAACATTGGCTCTAACTGAAAAATCTCAAACAAAAAAAATTGGTTTTGTGAAGGTTGGTTAGATCATCTGTACACACTGTGAGACTGAAATGTTATTCAGATTTATTTAAACTACTGCAAACTTTTATGAATGTATGCACTGTTTTTGATTTTGACCATTCAAAGTGTATGTCTTTTGCTTTCCCCCCCCCATAGTTTGCTGTATCTGATCTCTTTACACATTTATCTGTAAAGGGTTTTCCACTCCATATCTCTGATACAGTTTGTTGCTTTTGCAGATGGGTGCAGTTTTGGAAACCTCACCAGCCCTCTTACTATAGGGTTGAGGCACTTTGCACGGGGTATAGACCCCATTGCAGCCTTCTGGGATTTTGACCTTCTAGATGGACATGGAGGCTGGTGGGGAGAAGGGTGCCACATAATTAGTTCTGCAGGCAATATTACCACCATTCAGAGTACTCACTTCAGTAACTTTGCAGTGCTAATGGTAAGTATATGATTTAGCAATTGTACCTATATTTCTCTCTATTTTGTCATACACAAATGTTCTTTTTACATGTAGCTGTATAATTCTTACATGCTGATAACTGACCTTCTGTCTTCTATGATGTTTTGTATGAGGCAGCCTTAAAGAAAGAAAGTTATTTAACTGCTAGTAAGTGAATAAACCTGCTGGTCAGCTTTACTATCCAGAGACAGGCCTAATCAGAAACAGCATTAAAATTCAATCTTAGAAATGAGAATTTCATCAAGGAATGATTAGTATGTTATGGTTATAAATTATAAGACAGCGTTTAAAAATGTATACTCCAGTGTGCTTTTACATCAGCACATCTCAGAGGCTGGTCTGCTTTTGTTCCTGCCCTGCACTGTGTTGATCATACTAATTAGTTGCGGGCATACCGCAATGTTGAATCATTTAATAAATGGAAAGGAATAACATCTTCTGCTCTCCTAAGTAAGGACACTGCTGTCTGTGTTGATCTTGAAGGAGTTTTAGTTAGTACAGTGATGCTGACAGCCCTCTTGCTAAATTGCTGCTGAAGAAAAATATTTCTGTGCAGTGCTAAGCCATCAGCCTGCTTTAATCTGTTCTGAGTCACACTCACAGTTCCCATTGCAGTTATTTAACTATTCTTCTTAACAGAAAGTTACCATCATGAAAGCAGAGAGATCATGTACGTAGTAATAGTATGTTTTACTACTCAGGGTACAAAGAAAAGCAAACAAAAAAAAAGAAAGGTTTCAAATATATGTAGGTGAAAACATATTTGCACCATTCAATAATTTAATGTAAACCAGTTGTAAAAATAGATATGTGTTATTAATGCCAGACTGATCCTGAACACTGGTGCATAACTGCACCGTAGACACTGCTTGTGTGTGTTACAGAAATGTTTATAGTTGAGTAAATACTGTATTGTGTGTATGTGTAAGGGACAGCAAACATAGGCGACAGGAATTGCAAGGACGTGTGCTGAGAATACCAATCTGCTGCTGTCAGATGGAGCCCAGATGGCAGCCAATCATAGCACAAAGCTCTAGCACCCACGAGTTAAATGCGGATATTATCGTCCGCTTTGTAAGAACCTATTTCTCTCAGAGTTACTTAAACATTTTTTCACCCATTGCAGACTTGCTCAGAATGTAAGAGCTGTTCCTAAGATTTGATGACATCAAATGTACCTCATTTTCTACAGCTCCAAGGAGTTGCGTTTTTTCAACTTGCCCACTTGTTTCAACAACTCACCCACTTGTTTCCCTGAATGTGAAACAATTCTGCTTTGAGGGTGCTTTCCTAAATTCATTAAAGAAAGCACCTGTTGACTTTGCAGGTGCCACACCCAAAATGGCTTCTTCGCTGGCTGGGTTCAGCCTGTTCTTAAACTTCAAGTAGTTATTAAACTTTCACTAATTGCCTCCAAATAACCAATTCCATGGTTCCATTTTGTTTGCAAAAATGGTACATGGACGTAGGAGTCACAACTAATTTTTGGTTTCTAAAGCTGAATACACATTTTTCTCTGATGAGTTTGGGTTTTCCACAACTGTAAAGACAGCCAAGGCACCTTTTAATGCAGCTTTTGTATCTGATATGTAATTCAGTTTAGGTCTTGTGTTTATTTTGATACAGTAATTCAACTTCGCATTTTTTTCCTGTGTAAATCTTTCATTTTTATCTGTTCAACACAAGAAAATAGAATTTTCTTCGAAATTGATGTGGCAGCAAATGATGTGATGTTGCCTAGGTCGTATTTCACAGTTACTTTTAAGAGAAAAGATGCCTGACCTTATGTAATTTATATGTGCATACACATGTGCAGATACGTGTCTGTATACATGTAAATATGTTTCCAATAGCTGTCTTTCTGAACCACTATTGGAAACTTGTAGTTTTACTTTATCTAATTGTTTTCATTCAAGTATGTTATTTGTTTATCAGTGTTTTGTGGCATAAAGTTAAGGTTTGTTTCCTCTAGTATGAATTATGCTTTTCTGGACAGTTCAATTCTCATGCCAGAAATGGGGAAAAAAAAATCATTGTTCTTTTTAGCTATTAATTTATAATATGAACAGTACAAATTGCCTATGTGTATCTTCTTAATTTACACCTAAGTGCCTAATATATTTTAAAATACAAACTTGCAGCAAGTTGAAAATAGCGTATGACTTGTAGCCAATGGAATTAGCCACAATGTCATGATTAATGCTATTTTTTTTTAATCTTTAATTCTCAAATCTATTAAACCATAAAAACTCATAATCGATTATGGCAGTAAGCTGAAGCAGTGGGTGTAAACTGAAGAGCAGCAATAAAGAAACTTGAAGGTTTACATTGCTATCAGAATAATGTATTCTGCTGTGGAACAAGATGAAATAGAAGCCTCATTTAATCTGGCTGTCCATTTTATGGCTCATACTCTGATTCATTGTTGCTGTTCATCATCTTTTTAAATAGAAAGACAAAGTTCACTGAGTTGCTTTTAAAAAAGTTGTTTCTGCTTACGTACCACAAAAGAGTTAAAGATTTTGTACAGTCCTTTTATAAAAAGGCAGTAATCAAGGATTTATCAACTATGATTGATAATTAATAAGCATGCGCATGCTTGAAGTGAGAGGATTCATGTAGAGCTTTTGAATTCCTCTATATGGCAGTTGTTCTAGTAATGTTAGTGAGAGAATGCAGTTTGGTGATTGAATTGGAAAGGAAATACAAGCTCTTTTCTTCACACTGGTCTCACACTTTCATGCTGCTCTGAGTTGGGCCAATGGATGGAAATAAAACAATAATGTCAGGTATAACATAGCATCATTTTTTCTGAGGTCAACTTTTGGATGGTACGTCTTAGTGGTGAGAGTAAAATATTGTAAAATAAAGCTCCTGAGTTTATTCTTATCTTTCCCTTCATGCACTTTGTGTTTGGACTTGTTCTTTATTTTGCCTTTACTTCTGTTACCTGTAGGTGGAAGACAGTCACACTCTAGGTTCTTTTGGAAGGTGGCCAGCACCTTCCAGGGCACTGAACTATAAATCTCTACCATATGGCATTCTGATTTGGAGTAACATTATGAATTTATATGTAATGAAGCTGCAGTATATCCAATTACAAATATTTGTTGTATAGTTTGTATTTATGTTCTTTTGTGAACTGAGCTGTATATCAAGATTTTAATTTTTCAAGATAATTTCTGTATGTGTTATAACCAGTGTAGTGCCCTATAGCCATAGTATATATATGAGTAGAACTCTGCAGGAGATAACAAAAATATCTAACAGCAACACTGAACTTCAAAATCTGCTAAATTTGTTTTGACAAACGTCCTTTGTTCTTCCTTTCATTTTTCTTAGAACAGAATGGCAACTCAATAGTGATGGGTATTACTGTAATTGTGTACAACATATCCTTTTCCCCTGACAAGACTGCTTTGTCAATAGTAATTTTCTCAAATCTGACAAATAAACACTAGCAAAATTCTTAAAGCTATGTAACATGTAACACTACTTCTCAATTAAGATAAAATGGATTATTATTATTAGCATTTTTTAACTGTAAACCTGGAGATAGGTTGGACAAACATAAAATCATAAATTCCTTTCCTTCATTGTCGAATCTACTTATTTCAAACAACATTAGGTGGGTTATCTTTTTTTTTAATTTTCTCATTGTGTGTTTTTGCAACACTCAGTGAATGGCTATTTGAGATAATTAGGGTTGAGGAGATCAAACTGACAAAGTCAGAAGATATTTGAAACTATTCTGAAAGCAAACCTTTGAAATACTGTGTGAATGAGAAAGTGAAAAGCAGGCAAAGAGATTGTGCAAAGAAGTTAAAGGATTTTTCTCTTTGTTTTACAAGCATTTCCTGAATCTTTTAAATCTCTCCAAGTTAGAAAGATCGCAGTGCCTCAAAAACTTTATTTTCAGTACTTTCAGTGTGACTGGAGACAGTTGCAGAATTTCTTTTGCCTGTTGATGAAGTTCAGTTCTGAAAACAGTATTTTAAACTTTCATATTTCAGGATTACTCCCAGTTAAATAGCCTAAGTCTTTTGAGAAATTAACTGTTGAGTCAGGGAAGTGTTGCAGAGATGTTATTTGGAAGATGGACATAATTTTCCATCCAACCCCCAGAAAACACAAGGTTTTCTCATAACAGGCTGTGGAAAAGTGGTTCATTTCTCTGAAAAATCAGGCTGCTTGCAAAGAGAGAGTTTTAAAAATCAAATTTAAAAAATTTTTGTGTGTAAGCATCTACATCTCCAGAAGAGATTTGAGGTGACTGTAACCACTGAAGATTATGAAAGAGATCCAGAAAGTTTACCAGCTAGACATGAAATGAATATTTAGCGTGGTACATCCTCAAAATTTGCTGGAATGAGATTCCTCTGCATGTATGTAAATGCTTCCTGGCATAAAGACCTAGGTTTCCAAGCTCTGCTGCCAGCTAGAGACCTGACAAAGAGGCACACACTCTTCATTGAAATCCTCAGTTGGCATGTACTTCTGAACTAACCGGCACATGTAACCCTGCTGGATGATATTGAAACCAACTCCCCCAAAAGATTACTGGTCTTTCTCAGAATATTCTTGAATGTGCCAATCTTTTGTACAAAGTCTTGGAGTGAATATATTCATAAGAGCAATATTTTATTCTTTTCTCCTTTGATTACATCTGCTTTTTACTAAATTACTCTGAATAACATATTTTTCTGTGGTAAAATACATAGGTAGCTGGCACTGGGAACAAAAATCCAGGTTTATATTCTTCAAGATGCCTTAACTTTATAACAAAATGGGCCTCTGACTCATGCTTTTTCTTTCTGTTTGCTCTTGTTTTCTATTGTCTTAAGGAATCTTCCATTCTTTGTGGTATGGGGTAAAAGAGATGAAGACTATGAGGAGCTCAGTAAAATGGGCAAATTTGTCTTTTTAAAACATAATGTACAATAATGCTGCTTTGCATAGTGTTTAAAAAAATCCAAAAAACTTTGTATTCTGAATGCTGTTTTTCCCCAGAGGATTGCTCAAGGGAGTTAGACAGATCCATAAGATTTAATTATTGTTAAAAAACAGACAAGTTGAATTTGTTATATTTATAATGAAATCAGTTTTCTACGTGCAAAATCCTTGAAAAGACTACTCTTTGTTGGCAATAACACATTATGACACCCAAAATTTTTACTGCTTAATTGTGCAAGATTAGAAAAGAGATAATAAATAAATGTTTTTAAATGGAATTAGCTTAAAGATGCTGATTGTTTTTTATTCTTCTGCAGGCAAAATCACCAAATGGAGAGTTCTTTTTCTCTTCTCTAACAGTGGTAGTTGAGGGAAGAGTAGCAAGAAACATTAGGAGACAGTGTGAGAATACCTATGTGACAGATGATTCCATCACTGACATTGAGTGCTGGTGTACCAGGCAGGGCTGTGAGTGTATTTATGAGTATGACAAGTGACTGCAAATTTAACTGATGGGTTCAAACTAAGGGACACACAATACCTGAAGGAGTACTGTGGTATTCTGTGGTGGAAGGATGTTACAATGCCTACTAATCATCTTGTTTATGTTATTTGTTCATTTTGACAGTCTTGTTTATATATGTTGTAAGCTGCTCTGTTTATGTCTGAAATTAATACACATCTGGAGAAACCAGTACAATCACTTTTAGGAACTTAAAAGCTACTATAAAGAAAAATAATGACTACTAGATAGGTAAACTGCACTGTACCTTGTCCCCTGACTTAATAATTATATGTACTCAGGAATGTTAATATGAATGTAGAAAACAGTACATCCAGATGGTCATTGTGGTCCTTTTCAACCCAGGCCATTCTACAATGATTCATAGTGCAGCAATTTTCTTTTGGTTCCATCCATCCTATGTGCAGATCTAGTTTTCCATCCTTTGTTACTTGTGAGATCTGGTACATTAGAATGGAAATATGATATGATCAATGTTATAAAGTTACTAATGTTTTCCATTACTTTTTTCGTGAAGAATTGCCAGTAGGCACTAGCAGCTCAAGAAGGAACACATGGATCTTTACTTCCCTGTTAATACACCTGTCAAACTGTTTTCAAATTGATACAGGCACAGAGTATTTGCAACTAAATACGAGGCTCACTGAGTTAGAGGGAGTTGTATCTACTGGGAATATAGAAGTGTATATTTGAATTAGAGTACAGAAGCTGCTCAGTCAATACTTTGGGTGTATTCTCGGGTCTTCCATTTCCTTCTTACAGTTCTTACGAAATTGTGCGTATGCCATTTAGACACTTTATGGTAATTTGATGTTTTGTACTTAATACCCTAGTAAAATACATGCATGAAGTTCTTGTTATCTGAAGGAACAGATATTACTAAAACTGGCAAGATGTAATATTCTGTATATTTTTTCAGGTTTTTTATTATTATTATTTTTTTAATTAAGGTATGTCTGCTTGTACAAAAAGGTTAATTTTTCTCTTGCAAAGTGTATGCAGATGAGGAAGGAGCAGTCTGATGTCATTGTAAATTCATGAACTGTATCTGCATAAAAACTTCATCATCTTATTTTCCTGCTCTAGAGAGGAAGCAGCTAGAAATGACAGGACATATTGAAATGAAGTCTCAGAGTTTCACACATGCCTAACAATGTTAAATCATTTTGTTTTCTCTGTAGGATTTTAAGACAGTGCTGTCTTTTCCCCAGTACCCAGGGGAGTTTCTGCACCCTGTGGTATATGCATGTACTGCAGTTATGTTATTGTGCCTGTTTGCTTCCATTATCACCTACATTGTCCATCACAGGTAAGAATTCCATTTTAAAGCGCTTATGTTAGAATGGTCAGAGTTATGCTGAGATACTGCAATTTTTCTAACCCTCACTGAAAGGAAAAATGATCTGAATTGTTGCTGGATGGTAGTGCGTGATTTAGACAAGAGAAATCACAAAGAAAAGAAAGGTTGCTTCAACCTTTACCAAGGTGTATCTTTCCTGAGATGTATGTCTAAATGTCTGAGTACAGTTCTTAAGGTTTCTAACTTGACAATTCCATATCAAGCCGCATGCACTGTCAAATTGCTGTCTGGCACACAGCTGTTGTGAGGGCACTGGGGTCTGAGACATTTTGTTGAAATATTTGGCAATTGTCATTGGTTGAAAGAAACTTACTTTGACTTATAAATCTTGATTTTAGAAAATTTTTGCATTTTCCTTTATATAAAAGATTTTTAGAAATGCCATTTTAACTACATACTTCTGTTGAAGAACATTAGCAATTTAAAAAGAGAGTAGGAATGTATTGTACTGTAGCAGCTGCTAAATATTAATTAAGTGAACTTAATGCAATGACTTCTGATCTTCAGCTTGCATTTATTCCTTTAGAGATGTCTTGTTAAAGTTATGCATATCTGAAGTTATGCAATAAACCTTTTGCTTTTATCACTCTTCTTTTGATGTTCGATTTCATGGAGGAACCTTTAAGTCAGTAGGAACCTTTTTACATCCTCCATTATTGACCTCAGTGCTATATAAATCAGACAATTCTAATGGCATATTGCTGAATAAGTATTCAATCAGCAAATTTAATTCTATCACACTAATCATTTTTCCAAAGTTTAATTTTCATAATAGGTATGCTTTCTTTTTTTTTCATCTTTAAATGTTATTTTTCAACAGTACAATCCGAATAAGTAGAAAAGGATGGCACATGCTTCTCAACTTTTGTTTCCATACTGCTCTTACCTTTGCTGTTTTTGCTGGTGGAATCAATCGCATTAAATACCCAATTATATGTCAAGCTGTAAGTATCTTCCTTAGTAATTCTTACTAAAAGAGTGGAAATTTGAAACTATCTTTTAACATAATATTGATAGTTCTCTTTCTTTTCATACACTGTTTCTGGATCTTAAGATCTTCAGAGTAAGTCATTATTGAGCAATTTGGCTGAGTTTGGCCCTAGTTGTTTCCTAAATAGCCCAGTATTTCTGGTACGATCATGTCTTGTAGTTACAGCTCAAGAGAAGGTGACAAAGCACAGTAATCTTGTGATTTTGTTTGCATTATTGGACTATTTCATATCTCTTGACCTGTCCTTTCCAGAGGTATAGTGTCATGAGATGCATAGAATGGGCATGACTTCAGTTGCTGTGAACATAGGGACTGAGTCTGTACAGGAGTTATTTCAGTTATCTTGCTTAAAGCCTGATGAGAGCTTGTTGCAGTATTGCTTTATTTTTAATATTTCTTTCTTTTGGGTTTAGTAGAAGTGTTCCAGATCTCATGAACACTGTTGGTTTGCAGCTATACTAAAGCATTTTGCTAAGCCAGCATTCTCCTAGGTATTTTGCCTGTTATTAGTCCAGTTTTGATTGGCTTGAATTGGATATAAGAGTAAGATTTGCCAGACAACAGCAGCGATGGCCCCCATACTCATCTGCTTCAGTTCATGTTTGCTCTTTTTCTCACCTGACGGCTACGCCCTGTGGCTTGAGAAGGATTTCAGCAGAAACATCTGTGATAGCAATAATCTTTGCTAAATGTTAACTGAGATAGATGTATTTTCCATTCCTTAAATGGCCTATATTTCTGCTACCTGAGGTTTTTTTTTTTTAAATTAGCATATGTATATTCTCCTTCTTTTATGCATGGAGGAACTGATTCTGCCTACTGCTGTCACAATATTTCCATATAATTAAAACCAGAATAATGTTACGGAGTTTGAGCTTTCAGAAAATAATTTTTTTTGTCCCATTATAAACCTTCCCTGACATCAGTGGCTCAATTTGCTTTTGTTAGCTAAAATGAATTATTCTCTTGGCTTGGGAGAATGTCCATGCTTGGAATTTCAAAACAAATATACTTATTTTTGCTTTATAATATTTATGTTGTTAATGAAAATCATAGCATTAATCATTTAAGCACTCAAGCCAGTTCTTAGCAAGGTTACTGAAAAAAAACAGAGTGTAAATTGCTGTTCTGTATTTGTGTGTAAAACATCTTCTTACAATTTTTACCTATTTCAACTGAACATTTGATTGAGATATAAAGTTCAAATGGAATAGTTACAAGGAATAATAAACAGCAAGCCTACTTGAAATATCTTTCTTGGAATTGTTCCTGTCTAAGGAGAGCATATAAAGAACATAACTAGGCAACTTTAAATTAAAATTTTGTTGTGTTATGTTTTTATGAAATTTTAAAGCAGTGTTTTCACAACTATTGCTAGATGCAAGTATAGATAATATTATACCTGCACTTACTGCAGTACAATCTGCAAATTCCAGTGCGGTCTTAAATATAATTTAGTTTAAAAGCTGGTTGAACATTTTGTATATTAATAACAAGCTAATGAAGAATTTTAACACCATTCTTTCCAAAATAATATTTTGTTCTTCTGTTGTCCTGTCAGTAGAAAATGCTAGAAGTCTTCAGACAGATACACAAACTCGCTTCAGAAGCTTGTCCAAGTTATTGCTCTGATACTGGCAGCACAAGATGACCTAATTTTACAGGGAAATTAGAAGAAAATAAGATGCAAAAGACTAAAGGAAGGAGGTGTTTTACTCCATCTTCTGTTTCTATGCGCTATTAAATGTATCTTTTCTAAAACTAATTTTTAAAACAATTATATTTTACTACAGTAGGCAGTATATAACTTATATTAAGTATTTAAACCTATTGCTTTTAATATTTACATTATTTTAATGTAAGTCCAATAATTTTTATTAACAAAACTTGTATAACTAGTTAAAGAGTTATTACTCTAATTTTTAGTGAGATGCTTTGGAAACCTCTTGTGTATACTTGTGCATAACCATCAGTATGCAGTATCTGAAAATGTGCAAGCACCTATAATATTTCATTTGCAAAACATACACATGAATATTACATAGTTTTCATTTAAGTAACACAGTTGCCCAGGAAATTATTCTGAGAGAAATATCTCACAACATCTGGTAAATTGTGTTGTAATTAATCTGTAAGTTCTATCAAATTGAAATATCATTTACTATTCTCTTTATCTGCAGTTTGAAAGTGAGGGTAGCATATTAGTTTGTAGGGCAGCTATGGTCATGTAATTACATGATCACAAATGACCATCTGTTGTTACAATCATTGTCTGGTTATTTACTTTGTAGATTGCATGGAAACAATGAAGTATAGCGATAATAATGAATAAATGTTTGAGATAAATGAGTTATTATTCCTTCAAAATTAACAAAAACGGGTGATTCCAAAATAACTTGTTGCCTTCTCCCTCTAAATTATGTGGCCCAGGCTAGTTTTACTCATAAAGAATTAATACTATGGGAAAAGATCCATTGTCTCTCGTAAATATCTGGAAGAACCTTCATATCTCTTTGAAGGCAAAAAAAAACTGAACTATCTGGAATCTAAAAATGTGAAACTGACTTTTAAACCTGCATGCCTATTTCAGAGATGATTTTCTAGTCAGTCTCAATTCTTGTATGTTTGCTATGTAGTCTTAACAAATCTTTTAAAAAGAAAACTGAGTGTCAATCTGAAAGAGCTGATTGCTTCTTTACAGATTTCCTATATGAATTAGGTTCTATCTACAGACTGTTTGAATTTGACTCTGAGTGCCACTGAGTGATGGCAGTTGATGTAGAGTTCAGATTTTTGAGATTATTCCAAAATCATTTGAGTAAGGTAAATGTTACATTAGGAACAGAATAATGGGATGATTCACAGACTGTACACCAGACAGAATGGTGCTTGAGTCAGCCAGTGGAGGATGTAGTCAGCCATTTGCATCTTCCTGGGCTAGGCTTTCAGCATTCTTTCAAAGAGTAGAAGGACACTTGCTCCTTTCCTGTTCAGAATGAGATGGCAGGAACACAACTGTAGCTGCATCACTCCCTGTGGTGTGGAAGGCATTAGTTCTGTACCCTCAGTCTGAAAGATTTCAGTTTTATGGCCTCTATTTTCATATAGAGCATTATAACCATGAGGCTGTGGCTGCAAGGGATTGAAATGATTGGCCTCACCCCATGTGTCAAAGCATGAAGAATAGATTTAGAGGCACAAGAGCACAAGACTCAGGAGAGAGAAAAGTGGGACAAAATCATATTGGTTTATATTTTTCATATTTGTGTCCAGACAGAAGGTAACATGATCATTCAATGACTTACTAATTTAACAGCATTTGAATACTGTTAAACTATGGAGATCCTAGAGCTAAGAGCTGCGTCATGTGTTGGAGCTTGGGGGTGCAAAAATATTATTGAAGGAGCAGAAAAACAGTAGTTATTTATACTCTGGTTAGTTTTTGTTCATTTGTTTGTTTTTGTTTTGTTTTTGTTTTTTTTTAAAGGATGGATGTGAAAATAATGTACTGTGATGAAATTTGTCAGGGCATCTTAATTTATATAGAAGAATGCAAATTACAGGCTTTTGATAGGTCTTGGGCTCTGCTCTGCTTAGTGTTGCTGCAAGAGGAACCATGCTAGTTATATATGCAAATAAGACTGTCAGTGGCTAGAAACTTTACCAGCAGCAACTCATGACACTTAAAGACTTTGCATGCTGTGGACATAGATGTGCATGCTGAAAATTCTACTTCTTGGTCTTTTCCTGATGAGACCTACCTCAATTCTGGATCTCAACTCCTTGCTATAAATTTTCTACTTTGGAAGAGAGCAGGAGTTTCTTCTACTGCTAAATGATTTGTAATCATGAAATACATCCTGTGGTGTAGGAAACTATAGAGAAATTTGTTAATCCCTTCATTTAACTGAAAAGACTCTGTAGAATTAGTAGTTTAATCAGAATGCTAGTCCATATAGAACTGTTTGAAGAACAGTCTGAGCTGAAATAAAATGAAAATAATGCTAATTTAAAAAGAAATAAAATTTTAGAAGTAGAGGGAAACAGAAATTGTGCGCAGGTTAGATCTGCTGAAGAGAGGTTTTTGCACCAAGATGTATGGCATAAATGTGTATACTGATCACTACCATGGTAACTGCACCTTGTGGAACTTGTTATTTATGAAGTAGTGAGATTTATTGAAGGAGCACATCTTCTTACTGAAGGCAGCATCTTCTTGCTGTAGAAACTGCAGTTTTCTATTTGGTAGCTTGATGCTTATTCCCAAATATGAGTTCTGAGGATAGAGTCCAAGGAAACATCGTTTTCAGCATAATAGCTGCAGTTATCAAACAGTGTTAGGTGCAATGCTGACTATAATGCTTACGTCCTGACAGTTCTTTCTGTATCGTATGAGTATTATGATATCAATATTATGATATCAATCATAACTGCTTATTTCATCAGGAAAATGTAGCCCTTCCCACAAAAATTTATGTGAAATATGTGATGTGGTGAATTTAAGCTCCACAAGTACCGAAGATAGGATCACAGAATCATAGAGTATCCCAAAATGAAAGGGACTCGTAAGTATCAGGTTTAACTCCTGGCTCCACAGCCACCACCATAATCAGACCATATGTCTGAGAGACTGTCCAAGTGCTTCTTTAACTCCAGCAGCTGAGCGCCATGAACACTGATCTGGAGAGCCTGCTCCATGCCCACCACTCTCTGGTGCAGAACCTTATCATAGCACCCAACCTAACCCTTCCCTGACACAGCTCCCTGCTGTTGCTTCATGTCTTGTTGCTGTAACCCAAAAGCAAAGCTCAGTAGTGCCCCTTCGCTCCCTGTGAGAAGCTGCAAGCTGCCATGAGGCCTCGCCTCAGCCTGCTCTGCTCTGGGCTGAACAAACCAAGGGACTTCAGCTGCTCCTCACACATCTTGCCCTCTGGACCCTTCACCATCTTAGTTGTCCTCCTTTGGATGTTCTCTAATAGTTTTGTGTCCCTCTTACATTGTGTCACCCAAAACCGTGCCTGATATTTTGAGGTTTGCTCACACCATGGCAGAGCAGGACCCTTACCCAGCCAGCAGTGCTGGGCATGATGCACCCCAGGGTATGGTTGGCCCTTTGGGCTGCCAGGGTACGCTGCTGACTCATGTTCAAGCTTTGCAAAGGCATAAATTCAGTAACAAGTTATACACAGATAAACTGGACTTTTAGTGCATAATCCAAAGGGTTATGTTTGCTAAATGAGATTTTATTAAACAGAAATGACTTTGTCCTGTTCCCTTTTCTTTTATGTCTTGTTTTCCCATTTTGTGTTCTGACCCATTACCTCATGTATTTGTAGTGTAGATCTGAGCAGCCTGAAAGAGCAGCTCAATGTTAGAATATGGGAAATGCATCTCCATGTCACGAATGCCAGTGTGGAGATATGGGAAAGGAAAAGGCAGTAAGCAGAGCATCACTTTGAAACTGAATTTTTGAGGTGGTGTGACAAGCATTTAATTTCAAAAGATTTTTAGTAGATAGTAAAAAAAAATCTATTTCAGAAAGCTGGAAAATAAAAAAATCATCTCCATAAAGAGAAAATAATACCTTTTCTTTTGGGTTTTAGTATAGAAGCTCACTGCATCCTTGCAAATCCTGCATTTTTGTTGTGTCCTCCTGCTCGTTTTGTCTCCATATTGTCACCACTGTTTTGCAAATCCATCAGTCATCAGGAGGTACGGTAGTATCAGGATATATCCTCTGCCTTAAGGAAAAAATGCAAATGGAAATGTTTATTTAAAGACAAAGAGATACTACTGGAAAGACAGTACTGAAGATTTCTGTCTCTTTTCCATGTTACTTGAGTTGTCCGTATATCAGGAGGAATTTAGTTGCTGAAAAACAGACATATTATGGAGAAAAGTCATGTGACTAATGTGCAATATAGCAATATTTTCCATTTGGTTCAGTAGCCTCTTGAAAATTTCAATAAAATTGTTTGATCATGTTATTTCTTGGTCATGTTATTTCATTCACTCAAGCAACTGATCATTTGTGAATATTTGTCCATGTACAGTGTCTTAATTTCATGTGTTGATACCTGCTCACACAGAACTCATCCCAGCTATTCATCTTCTTATCAAATCTTTGGCATACTGTGTATAGTGTGTGCAGAATACATAGTACAAGTGTTATGCTTAAATGAGAAAGAGGTTACGAACCAAGTCGCTAGTATTTTTCCAGTTCTTTCTTCTGTTTCCTACCTTCCCCTTCTCCTCCCTCTTTTCTACCTCCTGTCTTACTCCTTCACTCCCCCAGCCTGTAGTCATATTCCCTGCTGAAATGCTGCAAGCTGCACATGAACTGAGTTTGGGCAGCACTAGCCACTGAACTGGCAATGTCTGCCAGCTGATGGTACAAAGTTGTCTCATTCTCTTATTTCTGCTTCTTTTACCTCAAGCGACAACAGCTACGAAGACTTTATGCTCTCTTGTCTAATGTACCAGACAAGTCTCAGAGAAAATTACAAGGATTTTTTGTTGATACTGTTTGCTGCTATATTCAAGTTCATGCTATATTATGAAATATAAACAAAATTAATGTGCTTTTTTCTTTACTGATGAATTATTTTGTTGAGCAAAAATGAACACTGATTTAAGTAAATCATTATAATAGATTTGTGTTAGCTTTATTTAGCAATTTTCTGTATTCTTTAAACATTTATGTGGTCTCCAATTATGGCAATATTTTATTTGTCACTGCGAAATGTCAGGTTATTGCTTAAAAGGTAACCTCATTTTATATAATCAGATGGAAACTTAGCTGATGAAATAAAGCATTGCAGATTGGATAAAATTCCAATTACTGTTTCCATAGTAATGAATAACAATTACTAACATAACAAACATGTCAGTATTTTAGAGGTGCTTGTGTTTTATTTTGCTTTCATTGTTAAACACACCATTGTCTTAGAGACATGATGGTAATAATACTATCAAGAATCTGAGAGTTTGCTTAAAACATATCTAAAAATCTTTTTTTAGGTAACTGGCACTGATGCCATACAAGTAGCTGGTCATTACAAGAAGTCAACCATGGCTATATGCATGTGAGATTGAACTAAAACTGGATATTGTGTAATATATTGATGAAAAATTTCAGAAAATAGTATAAGAGCAAACAGTACTGGTGTCCTTTCAATATTTTTTCAACTGTATTGTCATGATAAGCTAACAAGGTTTTCAACACAAGCCAAATATTACATCACTTTAAATCCAGGTGTAAAAGTTGTCATTAATCAGGTTCTTTACAAATGTCTTAAACATCTTGATTTCCTAACGTACCATCTGGTATCACAGATATTATCTATGATAGATAAGTAACAGACTCCATCTGCTTTCTTAAAGTGTTTTCATTCTGTGGCTAGAAAGAATCAGAGAAAAAAAAAAAAAAAAGATACAATTACAAATTCAATTAAAAAGAAATCTGCTTGCTTGTACAATTATGTAGTAAGATTCTTCTTAAAGTCCTGTTTTACTGATCCACTTATTATTGACCTGTTTAACTGTCCACTATTGTTTTAGGTTGGCATAGTACTGCATTATTCTACACTATCTACTATGCTATGGATTGGAGTAACAGCAAGGAATATTTACAAGCAAGTCACAAAAAAAACTCAGTCATGCCAAAACGGTGACCAACCTTCTTATCCAAAACAACCTCTGCTCAGGTATGGACCATTACTTATGATATTTTTTCTAAGTATTTATTAAAAATATGAACTTTGAAACTCTTTCATTTCTGCACACTTTATTTTTATAGTCTATAAATAGAATCCATAAAGAACTGAGTCACTTTGGAGTATATAAAAATATGAATATTTACTGTGAGCCAGTAGTTAACTGTACTCAGGAGATGTGCAAAATTGATACTGGCTATGTTCAGGTGCTTCTATCAATTCAAGTTCCTGTTGCTTTCCTATGGATTAAAAAAAAAAAAACACAAACTGGCTTACTTCTGGGTTAAGGCATTACTTATCCATCAAAAGCTACTCTATAATGACTTTTTCTTTACCCTTATCCTTTCTGCTATAAATCTTGCTCACACTTACATTGATTGCTTAGTAACCTGATAGCAACCTTCCTCATTCCGCAATAGATATCTAATTCTATTACCAGGGAGACTGAAAGTCTGGACTCTGTCAGCTTTCTAGATGCAGCAGACTAACTAACACGTCTCTGATAGTGTGGCAGATGTAATGCAGTGTCATGAATGGAAGATTGACTGCTTCTACTGTAGAATTTTAGTTTGGTGCCCAGCTTCAAGGAAAAATTATCAGTCTGCCTTAAAAAAAAAAAAAAAAAAAAAAAAAAAAAAAAACCACCTATAATGATGTGGAATTTCCTACCAAGCACATGAGAGGAGAGATTCAGCTATCATAAGGTTAGGTGCTGCTCAAGTTGCTGTGTGTCCCTGTGCAGATTTCGAAGGAAGTCTGATACAGAGAGAAACCTCCAGACAAGGATTTCTCCCGTCTGTCTTAGATGTTTGCATGACAGCTGTCTTACGGAGATGTCTCTTTTCTTCCATTTCATGGAAAAAATAGTCAGTTTAGATTAAAGACCACAATTTTATGTACTCAAAGTCAGGAAGTATGAGTTATACTCTTTAGCGCTTTGCTGAAAAATCCCTGTTAGTGTACACTTCTTAAGACATTCTAGCTACTTTATCTTCAACACAAAATGTTTATTAAGTGGATCTTATAGTGGTTGTGTGATGTTGTCGAAATGTGTTAAAAATTGGTGAGAATATGAGAACGGCTTTGATGTCCAGACTCTGTTGAGGGAAATCTTTATTAACATTGATTAGTTCCCTGATCTTTAAAATGTATTATTTCTGGAGAAGAAATTATGTGAAGTTCCCCTGTTCTTATGCAGTCAATAGAAGAATATATTGGATTTGTTAGGTGTAATCCTAACAAACTCACTTTCACTGAGTGAGAGTGTCTGACTTTGCTAATCCATGATTTACTGTACCATTCTTCACAGATGAGAATTTCACACTTCCAGTTACTAGCTCATGGCAAAATGAATAATTGCCAATTTTCACATTCTGCAGTGTGGCTATTAATGTAGAATTGTTTCACATTGCATATATCCAGCACAGTGTATGTTCTTCAAATTCAAATCTTGTTCAAGCTGGAAAACAACAGGCAATCAGGTTATGGTAAGAATTACTCTAATTAAAATCCTTGTTGTACCAGTCACATCGAGGTTCTGAGCCAGTGAACATAAATAGCAGATACTTCAAGTTTAGTAGTAGAGATGATAAGACTACTTCTGACTGTAAAAAGCATGATGTAATTATTTAATAGCTAATGATTCCACAGTTATTTTTCTCACTCTGGGCACCATATCTCCTGGAGACACAGCCACTGGTATATGTAATATGATTTCATAATGGTTAGTGCTAGCTTCAAAATAATAAGGATCAGTTTCATTTCATGTAGAAAATGGGAATTGTATATGTGAAATTAAACATTGCTTTAAGCGAGAAAAAGATAAACTAAATAATTGGTAATTGTTGTTCTTCTGGAGGTATAATGATAGGGTTTTTTGGCCATTTCAACTTTACTGATTTCAATAATATTAAAATCATAATTTTTTGTAGAATAATATTTCCATAAAGTCAATGTAAGTCTAATATTTCAGTGTGCTCATATACAAGAAATGTTTTAAATGGACTCTTCTTGTGTTTATAATCTGATTACACCCTTGATACCAAGTGCACCTCAAGTGCATAAGAGAGAGAACAGCACAGTTGGTCTGGGTCTGGCATTCAGGGAGGTGGGTGTTAATTACTGTCTCCATTTGCATGAATAGTTAGCAAAACAATATAATTAATTTTATTCAAATGGAGATTGAGTTAAGTTCTTTTATGTGTCAGGTCTTTCAGTGCTAGAAAGCATATTGTCCAGTTTGCAAGGCACTTTTAAGGAAAAGGTGGCTTGTTGTTCATATCTGTAGATCTAGTCTGGCTTGTATTTGGTTTTGTTTAACATAAATACACAAATGTGTTTGGGAAGAGCTGCACTTTGCTGGTCTCTTTCAGCCTCTTCTGGTAATGAATGTATATGATAGACTGGGTTTCTGGTTCATGCGTGAGTGTTTTTCTATTCTTTGTGTATGCATTTGTTATATGGAGCATTAGAGTATTTTTTGTGAGTCAGTAAATGGAGGCAACTGTCAAAAAATCAATTCATAAATCTGTGATATGACGTTTATCAAGAAATAATAAAAGTGCTCATACTACACTTTTTCAGCAATCTTGATCTGCTCTAGCTAAAATACTGAACATACCAAAATCTCCAAAATATGAAGGAGACATTACCTTTTAGCAGAAAAGGATATATCTTTGCAACAGTTGATTCAGTTTCTCTGCCATCCAATTTGCTTATTCATTTATTGAAGTAATATGAATGATGTGCACTTGATTTTCTCCTGTTAGTTTTACTTGAGCTGCAGCAAGATGTATCCTACTGTGTAAAATAGTGATTCCGTATTAGTTTTCAATGTTTCAAAACACAGAGCTGAAACATGAAATCTTTTTACAGTGTAATTTAAGTGAAACTTGTTCTCCGTGCATATAAAATCTTGAATATTGCCTCTTTTTATGTATTAATCATATATTATATGATGCATCGTGTATGTTAAACATGAGACATTATGTATATTTTATTATATATTTTACAGCATATTTTATATATATTATGCATTAATTACCGACTTAAAACTCTCAGGGCCTACCACTTAGTCTGAAATCAGCTGCAACAATTTTGTCATTTTTCACTAAATGTTTCTGGATGCTAATGAGGTGGATCAAATTAATGCATTATTGAATTTTGTGTATTTAAATGCTGAACCCTAGCACTTCAGCAGATAATGAAATTACTTCCTGCAAAACATACTCTCTGGATATTCTTAATAGAAATATGTAATTCTGTCTGTTCATCCCCTATGGACATTTGTGAAACCTGGTAGTGTCTGGGTTCTGACTCATCTGAAGTCAGATTTTGCCAGCAAAAAAAAGGGCAGACAAGATTCAGCTGTTGTTTGTGGTGTACAGAACTTCTCACCAGCCCAGATACCATTTGTTTTTATAGCTGATGCATGCATTTCTCATCTGATACCTTGTGCACATACAGCTTAGAAATACAGACCAGGTAGAAAATGTCTTTTAACGGTTCTATTAACATTATGCCTTTCCAGAAAGAGAACAAAATTAGTCTACTATCATAAAAAACGCTGAGCACAATTGCATTATAAACATAAATAAGAACTAAATAAGCCAACTGGTGTTAAAGAGACAGATAATTAAGTTACCTTTAATTTCAGGTTTGTGTACCTGAAATGTGTCCTATTTCCCTCCACCCTTTTTATTCAAAGAACATCTTGCAAGTTAACTATTAGAGCATACATCAGATTAGAAACAGTCCAGTGTCATATATCTGCCATGAAAAAAAACAACACTTGACGCTTGATGTGCATAAATAAAGCTGCAGAATCCATTGCAAAATGGATAACAAGCTATGTCACTTTTGCTGCTGAATTTTGTCTTGCTCGTTGTGAAATGTGTCGAATACACTTTTTGAAAGGTTCTTACTAAAGCTGTAGGGCTTAGAGGAAAAGTACCTTTTTCAGCACCTTTGAAAAATTGTATGTCTAGCAGTAGTAGCAGTAGTTGCAGTAGCAGTAGCAGTAGTTTTTGAGTTGGCTGTAAGTCCTTTGTTTTGTATTCAAAATGCTGAGCTCAGTACTATGACTATTAAAAATAATGTACAGACTTTGAAATGTCTTAGAGCTGTTAAAGAAACTATTCTTTAACTTGCACAGAAGACCTAGAAATAATAGGAGATAACTGAAATAGTTGGCTGAACTGTAATGTCTGGTAATGAATGAATACATGCATATACATACAGGTATACATATATGTGATTTTCTGCTGTTCTATGTGAGCTTGTGTATGGGCAAGTTATATACATCATGTGTACAGTTACAGAAATAGAATCTGGGTCTTCCTTGTGAGTGATGTTCATGGTGCAGCAGTGACGGGGAGCCTACAAGTTGATCACATGCATGTGCAAGACATCGTAACGCTCCACTTGCATTCTCCCACTTACTCCTACAAACATGGCAACAGCTCTTCACTCTCTGGCTCATTATCTCAGCTACCAAAACACTAATCAGTAGTATCTAACTAAACAATAGCTAAGAATCTTAGTCTGTGACACTGAATTACATGAAGTTCTTTCACTGCAAAAAGGGAAAGCTTTCACGTACAGGAAAATCATCTTTGATTTGAGTAAATGAATCCTGTGATGAACCTCTTGTCTCTGACAGGAGATTTTCCAGATTTTTGGATGATACTACAGTCATTGTGGCATCTGCTTGGCTCTTGACAAGCCTGCTTTTCTCAGGATGAATACTAAGATGCTTGGTCTGGGTTCTGACAAGCTAGAGAAAACTCATGGGCCTCAATGGATCTACTGCAGTGTACTGTCACATTTGTCTAACTGTGAATCCCAAAAGCCTGGCTGAAGGTGTGACTTCCATCACAATCTGATGATATGGCAGTTTTTACTGAGTAAGTCACCAAAAGAGAAGGCTTCATCCTATATTTGAGCAGCATACTACAGTGCTCACTACATCACTGAAAATTGGCATGTGATGT